GTCATAACTTAAGCACCCTAATCGCAGTTTCACCCCGTGGCACGGAAGTCGGCCCCATTAACGACGAAATTTCTCTCGATAGTTCAGACGATCGGGGACTGTCTTGCGGCGAGTCGGTTCAAAATTCGCGATAACCCCGGATCGCCGCGGCCCTTTATCTCCGGCGTAGCACGCGGAAAATTCTCCGCGCGGATCGATTAACGAAAAACAGCCGGATTTCGGCAATAAATAACGAGAAAGGCTCGCGGAGGATGGGGTTGCGGGTCGCGATACCATCGAACACGCCATCGACACTGATACCAAAGGATTCACGACCCCTATCCACCATTCTCCTGCACACACACACGCGCACAGACGCATACAGATGCACATAGACGTACGCAGACGCACATAGACGCACATAGACGCACACAGAAGCACACAGAAGCACATAGAGGCACACAGAAATACACAAATATAGAGCTATAGACACAGAGCCACACAAATACATGCACACAGCCACATACAGACGCATACAGACGCACAAAAAGACATATAGACGCACAGTCAGACGCACACAGACGCACATAGGCTCACATACGGATGCACAAGGCCACATAGAGACGCACAGACGCACAAAAAGACATATAGACACACAGTCGGACGCACACAGACGCACATAGGCTCTCAAACTGATGCACAAGGCCACATAGAGACGCACAGACGCACATACAGACGAACAACGACACATAGTGACGCGCATAGGGACGCACAGACGCACACAGAGACGCGGAGAAATAGGGAAGCGTGACGCCAGCCATCGCACACGCTCCTCCGCCACCATTAACTCTTTCGAAACGCAGCGCCGTGCATCATGTTCACCCGATAAGAGTGGTATAATGCTACTTTAACGTGTTGCTCTCGGCCGTTGATTATTATCGATCGCGGGACTCGTCGTCGCTGCTCCCGGACAATTCGCACTTTCCCGTGTCGTTTCACGCGCCGTTTCATCAAACTGTTAGTAGCGTGCGTTATTAATCCTTGAACTTTTAAGCGGAGGCGACGCGACACGACGCGGCGGTGCTCGCGTGCGCCCAGCGAGCACGCCAGGAAATGTTTAGCTTCAACGATTTTCTGCTGCGCGAAAACGTTTTGCGATCGCGACAGGGCCGTGCAATTAGAATGCGACAGAACGAATTCACACAATTACATATACGTATGCACAATTGCATATACATATACACTCGCGCACACATTCTAGACCTCGATAAAACACTCAAAAATTGGAATCGACTGTCAGAAACTATAGGGTACTGGAGCCAATTACTGTGGGATGACGCCGAATACTGTGCCTGTCGTTTGATCCCGAGCAAAATAGACTTTCTATTTATCGAGTAAGACGTATTAAATTTTTATTCTTCTCTTATTATATTTTTTATTATATATTTTTCTATTGTATCTTTTTATTCTATTTTTCATACAATTTTTATTCTGCTATCTTGTTTATACCTTATATCATTTTTATAAACAAGAATATGAAGTTAATTATGAAAATGAAAGCGAGGGCACAGAGCGACCCCACAGTAACCGGCTCCACCGTCTTAGATAGTCAAATAACAATATTAATAAATTTTATGTTAATAATATTATATAAATAATATTATATAAATAATATATAATATATAAATAATATTATATAAATAATATATAATATATAAATAATATTATATAAATAATATATAATATATAAATAATATTATATAAATAATATATAATATATAAATAATGTTATATAATATATAAATAATATTATATTAATGTTCAATAGAACATTGACAAATCATTGAAAATTCGTTGAAAATTCGTCGAAAATTCGTCGAAAATTCGTTGAAAAATCATTGAAAATTCATTGAAAAATCTTCGCTTAGAAATCTTCGCTTGAAAATCTTTGCATAACAATGTTCAATAAAAAAATCCTATTTCGTAAAATGTCGCTGCAGTCGCTCGCCGGGACGGGAGAGAATAAAACCGGCAGTTCCCACGATAATTTGATTAAGAGAGGGAAGCAATCGGCACGGGAATGTTTTTACTGCGAATGGTAACTGTCTCGGCGCGGCGCGGAGAGCGCGTTAACGGTCCGTTGCACGCGATAGAGAAAAGCGGGGGCCGAAGAGACGCGAAAAGTATTCGGATCGGGAGCATAAAAAGGGAGCCGCCGCGCGGTTACCATTATTGCCTGGTGTCTGGTAGTCGATAGGACGGCGGCAGCTGAATTGCCGCGTAAGAAAAATTACTACGGCTCCGATAAGGTGTTCCGTACGACCTACGAAGCATACGGGCGAACGCGGAAGTGCCATAACCGCTTACATTTACAGAGATAAGGCCGCGTTCGCGACGCGACGCGACGCGTCGCACAGTCGTTCAGCCGCGGGTAAAACCCTATTTTCGCAATGCTGGAAATGCTATGTTAATTTACCGCGATTTTAAACAAATAACGCTATTCCGGAATAGTTTTGCTGCTCCCTTCGAACGCTGCATTTTTAATAACAGTGTCAATTTAACCCGTTGCCGTATTATTTTGTTCATAGTTCAATGATTAGAAGTTCTTCCATTCGAATAATTTCTAAGAGAAAAGATTATTTATATTTATTTTGTGTGTCTGCGTTTACTTAAATGTAATTGTATAATATTATATTAATTTTATATTATGTATAATAATATATTAATATTAATGTTATATATTAATATTATATATTGTATAATAATATATTAATATTAATGTTATATATTATATAATAATATATTAATATTAATGTTATATATATTAATATTATATATATTGTATAATAGTATATTAATATTGATATTATAATATTATATTAAAATTACATTTACATTATATTTATTTATTATGTATAATAAATATATATGATATATATTTATAATAATACCATCGACGTAAATAATATCTTTATAAATAGTATATTATTTATAACTACATAATTTATAAGTATGTTATAGCTATGTAACTTTATAAATAATATATAAATATTAAAATAAATTATATATATAAATATATATAATTTCATCTTCATAATTTTTGAAAGTATTTTTATCATAAAGGGGATGAAAGTTGCTAAATTTTCTGCCAAATAATTTCTCTCTAACATTGTGTTTTCATACATGAAATAAATAGAAAAGGAACACGTTGTCCCGCGTGTTTCTTCATAAAAAGAACGGAAACGATTGAATTTCGTCCCAGAAACGAGCATTTCGGTGCACTTGCTCGACACGACCAGATTCTCGGGGCGACGCTATGACGCGGAGAACGGAAGTATTTATCGGCGGAATAAGAGAAGCGGAGAAATTCAGAGCCGAGGGAAGTTCCCCATCCGCCCTCTCTACATTTGACTTCCACGGATGACGTCTCACGCGCGCGCTTGCATCGCCGAGTAATTATCTCGAGAAATTGAACTTCTTATTTTACTTGACTCCAGACTATCGCCGCGCGGCGCACGGTTCGCTGCTCAAAAATGTTCTACAGCTCGTTTCCTTTCAGCTGCCAACCGAAAATCATTGTTCCGCCGAAAGTTTCATCTCGGAAGTTATTTCGACGTCGACGTTCGGTTTCATTGCGTGTGGACCGCGAATTTGTTCGAAATATCAACGTGCTTTGAAGAATTATTCACCCTTATGATGAAAATAAAGACAGATCATCGAGATAACAAATTATTGAAGGGCCCATAACAATTTAATTGGAGCAGTGATTTTTTTAATTCGTTCTAAAAATGTTTCTACACCCCCAGAAATTTTGTCGAAGACATAGCGCATTATTAATGGGTCCACAACAATTTAATAAGAACAACAATTTTCTAGTACTTTCTAAAAATGTTTCTACACCCCCAGGAATTTTATCGAAGACATACAATATTATTAAGGGGTCCACAATAATTTAATAAGAACAACAATTTTCTGGTACGTTCTAAAAATGTTCCTACACCCCCAGAAATTTTATCGAAGACATAGAACATTATTAAGGTGTTCTCAATAATTTAATAAGTACAACAATTTTCTAGTACGTTCTAAAAATGTTCCTACACCCCCAGAAATTTTATCGAAGACATAGAACATTATTAAGGTGTTCTCAATAATTTAATAAGTACAACAATTTTCTAGTACGTTCTAAAAATGTTCCTACACCCCCAGAAATTTTATCGAAGACATAGAACATTATTAAAGGGTACACAATAATTTAATAAGAACAACAATTTTCTAGTACGTTCTAAAAATGTTTCCACACCCCTGAAATTGTTATCAAAGCCGCTAATCACAATTTAGAGAACCGGTAACAATTTAATAAGAACAACAATTTTCTGGTGCGTTCTAAAAATGTTCCTACTCCCCTAAAATTGTCATCAAAGACGCTATACCTATTTCAGAAGGCTCAAAATTGTTCTGCGTTCGAAAATAATTTTCCAACGAGACAAAATATAATTAAACATCTCGCGATTATTAACATCTCACAAAATTGTGAGATGTTAGCCTCTCCGCAAGAATAATCATGACGCAACCCTTAAACGAAAACTGTGAACCCGGTGATTTTGAGCGTCGCAGACGGGTTCAGCCTGAACGAACTAATAACGCCGTGAATAAGCACGGCCTAAGAAGCATTTTCTGAAATTAGTCGGAAAGCGTTCCGTGGCCGCGGGAACGAACAGAAGCTAATCCAAGAGGCTAATAGAGCCAGCACAGCATCTGGGACCGTGAGCCGTGGCAGAAGCTGATCTCGCAATCAGCGATCTCCGTGGCGACCGCCGGCGGCCACGGTCGCGCACCAGGCCGAATAATTAAAAAAAGGTAACGAACGGCGGGGCATGGCAGCGCGGCCGAACACGCGGTAACCGCGTCGCAGCCTAAACGCCGGCGGGCGTTTATTCGGCCCTTAAAAACGTGGCGGGCATCCAATTTGCCGCGGCGACCCGGCCAATAAACATTCACCGTTACTCTTCTTTCTGTTGCAGCTCTATCGGCACACGTACCTGGCCCACTACAGGATCGTGAACCTGAGAACCTTGTAAGTAAACGAGCTTCGCGCCCTCCCCGCGCCGCGCGCCCACCCTTCTCCCGGGGAGAGAACCTCTTCCCGCAGCCCCCGGCCGCCATTTAGGATAATCGTATCTCAAACTTATTCCGCGGGCCGGGTTTAGATTTGCATTTTAATCTTCCCGCCACCGCCGGCTGGTAACGGCGGCCGTTCCCACAAATTACGACGGCCAGGCCAGCCCCGCGAATTTCAACCCCTGTCTCGACCGCGACGATCTCTCGTCGACGACCGTGACGGCGTCGTCTCGCGACACCGTCGCGATCCGAGCGACGAATTCGAGGATTTTCGAGCGATTATTTTACCGTCCGACGAGCCGCGTGGACAGCGAGATTAACGTTGTCTCGGAGCGGTTTGTTGGTTGTTTCTTTTTTTTTCTTTCGTAAAATTGTCTCGTGTAAAATTGTAATGTTATGTAATATAATGTGTAATATAGACGATTTTTGTCGTAGTAATTGAACGAGTGAAGTTTTTTTATTTTGTTACGGATTTTGTGAATTGTTTTCGCAGGACAAATGGGCGAGTGAATTATGCGGTGTAGAATCAAGTAGACGTAGAAGAAAGTGATCGAAACTATGTAATCTTGTAGTAAAAGATCCGATCTTCCGACTGTTTTGAACTAGAATTAGGTGGGTTGTTTAGTTTTTTTGTTATCTTGTTCTGAACCAGTGTACGATGGCAGTTCTTACACGAAATGCAGTGTTTAAAGAAATAAAAAATAAATTAAGTAAACGTTGGAGAAACTAGTTGACATTATGCAGTTTTATAGTAAAAGATGCGATCTTTCGACCGCTTCAAATTAGAATTAGGTAGGTTGTTTAGTTTCTTTGTTATCTTGTTCTAAACAAGCGTCTGATGGCAGTTCTTACACGAAATGCAGTTTTTAGCAAGATAAAAGATAAAATATAAATGCAGTGAACCTAATCTCATTGACACTGTGCAATTTTATAGTAAAAGATCCGATCTTTCGACTGCTTTAACCTAGAATTACATAGGTAGCCTAGTTTCTTTGTTATCTCGTCCTAAACAAGTGTTTGATGGCAGTTCGCTTCCATAAAGTGCAGTTTTTAGAAAGATAAAAAATAAATCAAGTAAACCTAGAAGAATCTCATTGGCACTATGCAATTTTATAGTAAAAGATCCGATCTTTCGACTGCTTTAAGCTAGAATTGCGTAAATAGCCTAGTTTCTTTATTATCTTAACCTAAACATGTGTTTTGGTGGCAGTTCGCTTCCATAAAGTGCACTTTTTAGAAAGATAAAAAATAAATCAAGTAAACGTACACGAAACTAATTGACATTATGCAAACTTATAGTAAAAGAACCGATCTTTCGACTGCTTCAAACTAGAATTAGATAGCTCCATCATTCTATTCGTTATCACGCCCGAAACATAAGCGTCCCAAAATGCGCTTCCTAAAAAGCTTAAAAGTATCGACACCGCGCATTCTTCTATTAAAAAAGACCGATGATTCGACCGCCTCGAACCAAAATTAAATGTACGTTTCGCTTCGTTCGTCATCCTGTCCTAAAATGTCGCGTTCGTGCCAGTTCCCCCGGACAATATCGTCGGCCGCTTAGGTCAGCAAAGTCGAATAAATCGCCGTGCCGCGGGAAAAGTTTCTTAGCGGCGGCGAACTTTGGAAAACGCGCGCAACAACCCAATATTGTTTCGGATCGAAAAATAGTCGCCCCGGTGAGATAAGTTCGCCCTTTACGTACCGAAAGTTCGGCCCTTGAACTCGCCCGTTAGCCGACGGCGACGGATGAAAAGCGAGCGGCGGCCCGTCCTTCAAAACTCGAAGGGAATAAAGCGAGCCGGGGCTCGCCCCTCCGGGGAAAACACCGTTCAACGGGGAAACACGTGATGCTTCAACGGAGAAGTTATTCTTTAATGACTTTCGAGACACGAGCGACCAAGAACATGCCTGCGAACAGGGAGGGAGGGGCGGGGGGGTGGAAGGGTGACGCCGAAGGGGGGACGGCGAAAACTGTGCGCGCGGAGAAATTTAAATTCCTCGTGCGCGCCTCTCTGAACACGAAAGCCTTTCAAATATTTGAATAAACCGCCTTTTCGGTAAACACATTCTCGAAGTTCTTTGAGGCCGCGCGGCGCCGCGCCGCGCCGCGTCTATACGCGGACGGTTCACTTTATTACTTCGAACGGGAACGGAAAAATCAGACGGAAGAATGAAACGGTTTATTGCGATTTGCGGGGCTCCTTTGAGTCCCCCCCCGGCTGTTTCATTAGAAGCGTGATCGAACGTATCCGCGGCCATCGATTCGCGATAGTTCGTACGTTATGGCGGATGGTTGCCGTGTCTGTCTAGACGGAGGATCGTCTTTCCGCGAAATTGAAATGATTGTCGTCGATTGCAACGAGGATCTGTCGAAAGGAAATTTCTTTTTACCTTTCTTTGGGGAGTTGATAGTGAATCGAAAATGGTACGTGGATGAGCATAAATCATGGGCATTCTGTTAATTAATTGATTAAATTATATTATGATATATATGATATATTGTATACTAATATATTAGTACTATACCTGTCTCTTATACACATCTAGATGTGTATAAGAGACAGATTGTATACTAATAATTATATAGTAATACTCATATATTAGTACTATACAGTATAATAGTATACCTGTCTCTTATACACATCTAGATGTGTATAAGAGACAGCTATTATACTGTATAGTACTAATATATGAGTATTACTATATAATTATTAGTATACAATATATCATATATATCATAATATAATTTAATCAATTAATATAGTATACTGTTATATCGTATAGTACCTGTCTCTTATACACATCTAGATGTGTATAAGAGACAGATTGTATACTAATAATTATATAGTAATACTAATATATTATAGTATACTCATATGTTAGTACTATACAGTATAATAGTATACTATATTAATTGATTAAATTATATTATGATATATATGATATATTGTATACTAATAATTATATAGTAATACTCATATACTGTCTCTTATACACATCTAGATGTGTATAAGAGACAGATATGATATATTGTATACTAATAATTATATAGTAATACTAATATATTATAGTATACTCATATGTTAGTACTATACAGTATAATAGTATACCTGTCTCTTATACACATCTAGATGTGTATAAGAGACAGATATGATATATTGTATACTAATAATTATATAGTAATACTAATATATTATAGTATACTCATATGTTAGTACTATACAGTATAATAGTATACCTGTCTCTTATACACATCTAGATGTGTATAAGAGACAGATATGATATATTGTATACTAATAATTATATAGTAATACTAATATATTATAGTATACTCATATGTTAGTACTATACAGTATAATAGTATACCTGTCTCTTATACACATCTAGATGTGTATAAGAGACAGATATGATATATTGTATACTAATAATTATATAGTAATACTAATATATTATAGTATACTCATATGTTAGTACTATACAGTATAATAGTATACCTGTCTCTTATACACATCTAGATGTGTATAAGAGACAGATATGATATATTGTATACTAATAATTATATAGTAATACTAATATATTATAGTATACTCATATGTTAGTACTATACAGTATAATAGTATACCTGTCTCTTATACACATCTAGATGTGTATAAGAGACAGATATGATATATTGTATACTAATAATTATATAGTAATACTAATATATTATAGTATACTCATATGTTAGTACTATACAGTATAATAGTATACCTGTCTCTTATACACATCTAGATGTGTATAAGAGACAGATATGATATATTGTATACTAATAATTATATAGTAATACTAATATATTATAGTATACTCATATGTTAGTACTATACAGTATAATAGTATACCTGTCTCTTATACACATCTAGATGTGTATAAGAGACAGATATGATATATTGTATACTAATAATTATATAGTAATACTAATATATTATAGTATACTCATATGTTAGTACTATACAGTATAATAGTATACCTGTCTCTTATACACATCTAGATGTGTATAAGAGACAGATATGATATATTGTATACTAATAATTATATAGTAATACTAATATATTATAGTATACTAATATATTAGTATTATACAGTATAATAGTATACTAGTAATAACTAGTACACTAATAGTATACGATACTATGTCCTAGTACTTATATACTATATTATAGTATACTAGTATATTAAATATTATATAATATAAATTGTATACGTAAGACCATTATTTTCATTGTCAGAGTACTATGTTCTTCACCCCAAATTAATCCTCCGCGAGAAAGTCGAGAAATTGTGACCATTGAAAAGTGCAATTCTTCAAATCAGACAATTATAGTCTCCTTTCAATTAATTTCTCAGACTAAAGGCGCGAGAATGTAGCCATTAAAAGGGGTACCATTTCCGAAGACAATTACGCTTTGTTTCTTAAATGAATTTCTTGCAGAGAGACGTGAAATTCTAGCGATTAAAAGGTGCCATTTTCGAAGTCGAACAATTACCTTGTTCCTGAAATTAATTTCTTGCAGAAAAAGCACGAAAGTCTAGTCATTAGAAGCTACCAAAGTAAGTCGTCTCGAAAATAAGAACCGAATACAATAATGTCTCCCTAATCGACACTTAAGATCGTCCATTTTTCTGGAAAATCTGAGCTTCCATTAGAGAGACATTACTGTATTTCGCTAATTCGCTGATCGAAACTTCGAATTTTCGCCGGAAGAAACAAAGATCCGCGCTGCCGCGAGCAAATAGAACTCCGGAATTCGTATTCACGGTGACAGGGGACGTTTTCACGGCAACGTCGGAATATCTTTTTCGTAGCATCGTGTTAGGAATCGGCGCTAGAGGTCTCCCAGGGCCAAAGAAAATGTCACCGGCAGAAACGGCAACATTTCAAGGGCTGTCGTTCTTCGACTCTTCGGCAACACGCCG